CTGCAGGAATATGTGAAATATACAATAAAAGAGTTGGAATCGTACACAAAACAAGAAGGTTCATGTGTGCGAAAAGTGAATTCCAAACTGCATGTATCACTGGGCCCATATTGCTTGGCTGATTTCAAACATGCGCTCAGTGCTCATATTATGCGTAGAAAAGTTGGGTACTATGATGCTAGTCTTGAGGGCATTGTGCTCGACATAAAGAATATTAAAGTATTGGGCTCGGCGGGAGCACTTCGCTCAGATGATCCACGTATACATGTTGATGTTAATGCCGATTGCTATGTGTTCCGCCCTGCATCTGGGGCGATACTGAACGGCGTGGTGAAGCACGTTGGTAACCATCATATTGGCGTCATCATTTATAGAGTATTCAACGTGAGCATTAGATTTGCAGGAAAAATTAACAAGGAAGAGTTTAAAATGGATGATACGTTGCAATTCCGTATTAAAAAGTTTAACCTGCAGAATGTATTTCCTTACATCGAAGGTGATCTTGTGACGGCTAGTGGACATAAACTCATGGTAAGTTGAAAAGGGCAAAAATTGTTAAAACCTGTAACAAATACAAAATCCTTGTAGGATAAGTTTATTAAAGTTGAACCAGAAAGCGCTGATAGCAACATGGACTCAGGCATAGAAGAGCGCGAAAATCACGAGCTGGATGAACTTGTCACATTGATTAAAGAAGAGTGTGTATCTGAAGGTGAAGTGAGTTCGAGGTCAAAGAAGATAAATGAAAAAACTCCTATTGCAAAACGACAACAAAAAGCTAGCGCCAGCGGGGTATCATTTAGTGCTACGCTGCCGATTAAGAAAGAACTAAGAAGCGCCGAAAAAAAGAAACACAAAAATTCCGTTAAAGAAGAATTGAATAGCTCGCAAACCAAGAAACGAAAAACCACTAGTGAAGTATCATACATTGAAAACCTGCCGATTAAGACAGAACCAACAGACTCCGAAAAAAAGAAACGCAAAAATTCCGGTAATGAAGAATTGAATAGTTCGCAAACTGAAAAGCAAGCTGAAAAGGCTATTAGTAAAAGTAAAAAGCATAAAGTAACTAGCGAAGCACTGATTGCGACACAGATCAAAGCAGAGGTTGAGGAGCAACCGCTCACATCGCCCACGAAAAAGCGAAAAAGTCTAAATCGATAAGTATAGAAGTTTCGATCTTACCTTGGTTGGGAGTAAAGGAATTACTTACATATGCTTATTGCGACTATGGACTTTAAATGTTTTAACATAAGAAGCGTTAGAAAGGGTATTCGATTTGTTTCTGAAGTTCAATGTTAAGATGGATGCTGAAAGTTCGGCGAACCTATTTACACAGTTTTAAATATAAATTACTATTTTCTAACAGCCGTACCTACCTAAGCAAAAGCGTTAAGGGGTGCGTTTTCTGCCGCCTACCTTTCTTTAACGCTTAATTGTAATACGTAAACAAAAGCGGCAACGCCACGTCAAATGTACAAATAACAGCAAACAACATACATAAGTTTGTGTGTAAGAAATGCAAAAATTACGGTTTTGTCGTTTTCTGCAGTCAACTTCACTTCATAAAGGCCAATCTAAATCGGATTTTCCAACCTCATACAAATTGTATGAACACGAGACATTTTTGACAGCTAGACAACGCTGACGCTTATATTTAGGTATGGTTTTAACTTTGATTTTCAAGTTTATATAGAATATGTACATATATAGTCTTACTCACAAAAGTAGGAGGATGTTTTTTTTTTTTTGTTAATATTTGCAACGTTTTACATGCATTTTTTTTTTGTTAATTTTGTATCAAAATATGGCTTTTATTAAATACAAGAATGAAACTTGTACGAAAATTAAGACAAATTAGCAAAGTTTCAGCACAATCGCAAACGTTTTAATAACAATTTCTAAAAAAATTCAGATATGCAATTAAATTTCAGTATAATAGTGTGCCCATTAAATTTGTGAGAATTTTTTTGCTGACTGTCCTACGCTTTCTTTTGCCTAATACATAAAGTATTTTCAGATTTTTGGTTTATATGAAAAAAAATCGTAGGAAATTTGTTTTTTTTTTGTTTTTAATTCTAATTAAAAATTTTGCGATTTTGCTGAAACGTTTCAGATCTTTCTTAATTTTCGTACACAAATTCATTGTTGGATTTAAATAAGGTTCGCTAAAATATAAGCCATATTAAAAAAAAAAATTTAGCGTGTAAAACATTACGAATATGTATTAACAAAAAAAAAACCGTACGTTCAATTTTGTGAGTAACAGTAAGTGATTTTGTAAAAATTAATAAAATAAAACAAAAAGTTAATCAATAAAGACCAATAACCGAATGTTTCAAAATAATGTTTAACTTATGAAGAGATTAGATAAAAATAATGTACTTGTAAATATTTAGAGCCTTTAATAAAATTCTGCCTTTTAATAAAAATTCACTCCATATTTTGTCCAACAATAAATATAAATTTATTAGTACTAAAAAAGAATTTGATTCTTACATTACATTTACATTCATATAGTCACCATACAATATTATACAGTAAATAATTATTTTATTTTAATACGCACAAATATGTATACGTATTGCATCTGAAAATTCTTAATTGTTATAAAACGTAAATACAATATAATTTACAGCAGAATATGATAGGTTTATTTGCTAAATAAGAAGCCAGCTAGCCAGTTTGGAGACCCTAAAAAGGATTGCTGAATGGAAAGTAACATTTTTGAAGTGTAGCGAGTATTTTACTTAGTATGTATCATTTATATGAATGTGTGTGTGTAAGTATACACAATAGATTTCGCAGTTGCAATATTTAAGTAGTGGAACTATTTGTATTTTAACTCATTCGTTTATGTATACCTATGGAAAATGGTACGCGTGCACATCAAACTACATAGTCGTAGGAAAAGCAAAGGAAATTTTTAGTATTGAAAGTGGAGAAAATTATAAGCGTACCATATCTATCACTTCTAAACTATTGCAAAATAAGGCTAAATAAGATTGTAAATACATATGAGGAGTACATTGTACGATATTCAATATTATTTAGTATTCATTAGTAATTGTATGCATTACCTACGTTATTATTAGTATTCGTATTTGAGTTCTATGTAGACTCTATTTCTAAACTGAAATCTCTTGAATATGTACACGTTTCTTGCCGCTCGTGCTCGAAACCGTATTTGAGCCAGACGAACGTAATATGCCACCTTGTTGCTGCTGCTGGTGCTGTCCGTGCTGTTGCTGGTGGTGTACGCTTTGAAATGATCTAGGTGGCGGTGGCGGTTCTGGTATGTCATCGTCCATATCATTGATTATATCATCCGTGGAGACTTTAACAGCATTTTCGATTTCTTTAAAAGATAACTGATCTGAGGATTGTACAGCATAATCGAACTGCATGGTTGTTTGACTGCCGCTAGTGGCAAATGAGTTGCGGCGGCCGCCAGGCATAATCATTGCTGACTCTAGCATAGCAATGCCACCGGGCACAATGGGCATTTGTGTATTGTAAGTTGCCAATTCTAGGTTGCTAATAGCTTGTAGGTGTTGCAATTCATTGACGTCTTTGCCACCGTTGCCGCTACCGCTGCAAGTGGGCGCCTCCATAATGCTGTGATGATGTTTCGTTTTAAGTAAATCCAATGTGCTTGTAGAGCCAGAACCACCGGGCCAATTCAATTCCATATGTGCAGTTGTCTGAGTTATTGGTGGCAAGTCAACGAGCAGTTTCTCATCCTTGGAACACTTAAGTTTCTCATCATAATAGTTATATTCGCCAAAAACCACTGTACTTTTGCTAGGGATGCCATCGAAATGTACACTGCCATCATCATCGGCAAGTGCATTCAACTTGAGTATGCTGGAGTTCTTGCTTGTGTCATTATCTTGTAGCTCCTCCTTGGTTTTAGCATCGCGTGCACGCTTCTCGCGCTGATGATAGATGCCGGCAAAGATGAGTATGTTTAGTGTTAGCAGAAAGCAGCCCACAGCTACAGTGGCTATCAACGCAGTGGTGTAGCTGGGAAATTGCTTGCCGCTAAGGCGTCGAAACATTTCCAAATTGCCTATGATACCCGTGGAGGCGGTGGCTAAGTCCTTTTGTGGTGTGCCACCTTCCAACATCGAGCGATTGTCAGATGTTGCTGGTGGTTGCGTGGTTGCGCTATCGCCGACGTTAGCGTACGCTGTGCCATCGGGGTTGCATTCTGGGGGAGGAGAGGAATTAAAATAAAGTGTATGTATGATAATATTTACGAAATCAAAAAAACAGAAAGTAGATTTAGGGGATTAGGTCGAAACTTATTCGGAGTTTTCATGGACATTCATCGTAATTTTCTAATATTTTTGTATATTTCATTAACGAGCATTTTTATCGTTTTTATTATCGATTTGGACATCGTATTCGTATTCATATTCACATTCATATTCATATTCATATTCATATTCATATTCATATTCATATTTATATTCATACTCATATTTACATTGATACTCATATTCCTGTTCACATTCTTATTCATATTCATACTCACACTCATATTCATATTCATATTCATATTCATATTCATATTCATATTCATA